AGACTGTCCACGCTCAGCCTGGGTTTAGCATTTTAGCAGTCTCACTCTTCTGAAGGATATAATTTGTATTGTTAAATCTGCTTAAAATTAAGCCTGTGTAGGCTTTATTTCAAACAAATGAGCATGTGCAGGATCAGAATTTCAATTGTTGAGTAGACAGTCCATTTATCTTCCCTAAATTTGTTACTATAATTTGTTTCCAAGATGACAGTGCTGGCAAACAACTTGCATGCATGCACTCAAATGAGTAATTTAGCTAAGGATTTTTTCCTCTGTTTTTCACGCTGAAACAAAATTTTGGTAATTTCAGTAGACTCTTTGTATTTTTCTCCAAATATAGATCTGTGAAATAATGTCACACCTCAGACAAATTCTACATTTCACCAAGGTCAGGGTGAAATCCTACAAGAAAAATGACGCTATCTGAGTGGTTTCATCAAAGTTTCAGCAGGACAACTGGCACAAACAGCAGCTTATAGGATGGAGCCAATAATGTCTGGAAAGCAGAGGGAGCTGCACACACTGAAATTTAAACCTAAGTCATTTACATTTGAGTGTACTCAATTTTTATAGATGTTGTTTTCATTACATCCTGAATTAGATCCTTAGTGTGATCAGTTTAAAGAAAAATGAGCTGTCACTGCTGAAACAATTTTGGGGGGGTAGGAGGGTGGGGGGGAGGGATTAATTTAACAGATGTGCTTTGCCAGGATTCCCTTCCTGAAGGCCTAACCAAGCCCAAGAACATTTGGGACAGAAGCTGTGGTTCTATCCTCATTTACTGTGAAACAAATTAGAAAAAAATTACCAGGTTTTCTTTGACTGTTTTGTTTTCAATATCTTTCAACCCTCTTTTATGTTCTGCAAATGCAAAAATATATGGTCAAATTCTGGACATTCAGTCCATATTTGTCACCAACAACACTGGATCAGAGATGCCTAAGAAGAAGAGAAAACACCTAAAAATAATTAACTGATCTGAGAAGTAGAAATCACCGAAACATTTGTCAACTGAAAATTCATTTTAACTAGTAAACTAAAATGTTCAACACTGAATACTGTAACAGCTGGTGTCTCATTACACTGCCCATCTAATTCTGAATCCTCTTGAAATGCAGTTTTTCATTTGCTAACCACAGAATAGGGCAAAATTCAAATGATTTTTTTGGCCAGTTCATGAAGCTGCCCCAATGCAATGATTCTGAACTCTTCTCCAGAGGCAAGGCTCTACTCCCTTCTCCCTATTTTCTATTATTTAAGATAAATGATGAGCCTATATCTCTCTCCTCGTGTTTTACAAGGAGAGCAAGGTCTGAATGCCTCCGGAGTACATGAAATGAGACACAGGGCACTGTGCTCTGCAGAATCAAGTGGGGAGTGAGCTGGTCATTCTGGCAGTCAGTACTCTCCTTGAGGAGGTGACACATGGGTGGGCTGGCTTCTGGAGACTCCTGGGGGAACTCGCCTGTCATTCGGATGCCAATCATCCCAAGGCAAACTAGGACACATTTGGGCAACCTACAGAGTGTGAGAGACCTCTCTTGCTGTTACTGCTGTCTTTTGCATGTACCAACTCCCAGAACATCAAGTGCACTTTCAGTTCTTCCTTCTGCTCAGGCAATTAAGAAAATAATGCAACCCATGCATGCAGATACAAGGTACTTGTTTGTATCAGGCTACATGTTTTACTAGTGATTCATACAGCTTCTTCCTTGCCTTAAACTCCATTCTTGTCTATGCAAGACTCAGATATGGAGATAAAATGTGTGTATGGATGCTCCTACTCAAGGGTTTATGTAGAAGGTAAAGTACTGATTTCACTGTGAAATCCACAAATGAATCCCAACTCCAGCTGAATTCTGCAAGGCCAGAATTTTTGCTAGAATTCTGATGATATGAGACTCTACTTCTGCACTTCCAATAAATTATTCCCATATTTCTAACTTTTAAGATTTCATCACTTGTTCTTAAAAATCACAGTCACAGAATTGTAGGGGTTGGAAAGGACCTTTAGAGATCATCAAGTCCAAACCCCCAAAAAGCCTTACTTTAACCTTGCCTGAAAGATCCATCTGCTAAATCATTATCTATTCTTTTCTATATGGAAGCAAGAAATCTATCTAAAAGCATAGTGTGAAAAAACTACCTGGCATCACAGAGAATAGTATTTTTTCCAGAGCTGGACAAGTTCTGACATAATCAACAATGCTGTTGCATAAGGACAGATAAAAACATCAGTTACATTACACACTGAATGCACATTTCTAGTGCATTAGAAACATAAATGGGTGTATTCAGTCAGTACTTGGAAACAATCTTTCTTTCCATATTAATACTCCTTTATGTGATGAAAATCCTACAAGGATCATAAGCAAAAGAAAGAAAACAAATTACCAACCAAAAATCTCCATGCAAATTTAAAAAACAATGGGATACTTGTAATTTACAAGTTGAGCATTTAGCACATCCTGTTGTTTTCTACAGGTTCAGTTCCAGAATGGCTGTAATCACCTGATCTTAGCAATGAGCAATGAACAATGAGTTATTTACAACTTCACTCATGTATGTAAGCACAGAAGGCAAGCATTCCTTACAAAAAGCAAGATGATTAGGTTACTTTATATCTGATTAAAATTCTAATAACAAGACGTTCACTGATTATCCAATCAAACATCCCAAATCTACAATTTTGCAAGCTTGCACATCTTCTGTCCCACCTATCTGTGGAGCTGTATAGTTATGGAAAGTGCTGACATACCTAGTAACTTGAAGTACCAGGGCAGAGTTACACGTTATAAGAAGCACAGCCCAGTTCTGTTGCTTTTGAAACCAGCAGTGTATGTGCTGACATTCATGCTGCAGGATTGATGCAACAATGTTTAATTTAGTATAAATGTCTGACAAATGAAATGTAAAGGGGTAACAAAGATTTGCTGGCAATCAGAAAAACTGCATAGAAAGGAGATTCAAAAGAATACGGAAGAAGAGATATGTCTGAAAGGATGTTATGCTCATGTATATACATTAGGCCAACATATTTTGATAATAATATTCAGTATGTGCTGGCAGTTCTTTTTAAAGTGTACTGCTTTATGCATAGATTTAATTTAATGGTCAGACTTTCATCCTTAACAGGTGCCAATAAGCTAAACTGTTGAAGATTATACCCAATTCAGGAGGAAAAATTAAAAAAAAAAAGAGTTTTTATTAATACAAAGCCACAGCTCTGTTTAATTTTGCTAGAGCAAAAAGCTCCAGGGCCAACATGCACTGTCTTACAATCTCAGTGACGCTTTGCAGGGGCTTTCTCCAAGGCACTCAGCAGACCCCAGATGGAATTAGGTCACAGGCTCACTCAAGCGCACACTTACCTGCTGCATGAAAGGGCTTTGGCACGTGATGTCCAGATATATTCATCTACCTTAGTCCAGCAGCAATGACATCATGTGCCTGATACTGGGCAGAAAAGAGTCCTAGAATTGTTCTTGGAAGGCTACCAATAAGGATAATACAGATGACAAATACAAGCTGCAAGGATCCTGCATTTCGCACTATTTCTGGGGGAAGATGGGCTGCACCGTGGACATAACCAGAGAAACTTGCTAGTAACAACCATGACAGATCTCAGGACATTAGATCTTTTTTTGTTTTTTTTTTTTTTTTTTTTTTTTTTTTTTTTTTTTTTTTTTTAAATGCAAATTATAGGGGCTCCTGGCATCTCTTTAGACAGCAACAAAATGTTTTCCAAAGAGAAGCAAATTAATTCAACCTTCATAATCACTGGGAATAAAGTCCAAGAAACTATATAATGACAATCTAGTTCAACATTACAGCTAATCAAACTAAATTACTAAAAAATAACACTACCAAAACTTTTAACGTAATTTTAAGCCTCCAAGAGCTTCATCCTTAACTGCCCTAACAAGAGAATAAAATAAGTATATGGTTTTTTTTTTTTTCACATATATATAACATATATAAAAATAAAAATGAGTTATGAGATTCTGTTACTCCTTATGTGCATCTACCATCACAATGAGCATACTACATACAATTCTTCAGCACAAATTTATGAAAAAATATCCCCTTACAAGACTGCATGGACACTGTCTGTCCAGAAGTGCTCCTCCTATTAAGTGGCTCTTCCATCTGCAAAGTCCAAAGTCCAAAGTGGACTTTGGTTTTTGGCTGTGGCAAAAATTTTAGTGCAGCCACTTTGTGTTCACATTGCTGATCATCGATGTTTTGACCACTACTCAATTGAAAGCTTTCATTTTCTTGGGAGATCTGGAGGTCACTAGGAACTAACTACACTCTTGGTTTTAGAGCTTTGCCTAAAGAGACATGGGATTATTTCCAGAAGCTCTTCCTTAAAGACCACACACCTTTTCTCCACTCTGTTCCCAGCTTTCACATCTAATATACTGACCTTATAAAACGCCCCAGACCTTTGTTCCTCTTTTGTTCATGGCAACAGGTAAGACCCTCACAAGACATAGTAGTCATAAAAAATATTTACTCCCTCATTTTGTTTCACAAAAATGGCTGCTTACTGAAAGGTTTGGGGGGGTGAATTCATGTACCAGAGTGACCTGACTTCTCAATGGGCTTGGGAGATTGTGTAATCAAGACCATGGATTATTACGATTCAGTTGAGAATCACTGAAAAGGGGAAACATAAACATAAATTGTTAGAACAGGTTTTGTTAATCAGGACTCTACTGTATTTCCACTAGTTACCACCCCTATGGAGGATCGTGCTAAACAGAAAATCCATTACCAAAGGCAGAATAAGCCCTGACACTTTATTGCTAGATTCTATAGCAATTGGAGCTCACATACAGTAACCTCATAGTACTCTATATATACTGAGAAGCTTGTATCAAATTCAGGCTTCCATTTCAAAATAGATATTGCAGATATTAGGCTTCAATTAAAGAAGAAAAATAACCTTCCATGCTTCTTTTTTTTTTTTTTTTTTTTTTTTTTTTAAAGGCAAAGTATTAAAAAAAATCACCAAACTAGGTGAAAATTATTAAATTTCTCCGAAAAATTAAGATGAGCTTTCTTCTATTTCTTGAGATAACACAGTTTGTGATTCACAGGGTATGTAACTGGTATCAAACACAAGTTAATGAAAGCTCTTATAAGCAATTTTATTCCTATCCATAATGGCAGACATTTACAAAATCAGAATTTATCAAATGAGTTCACCTTAAAAAATAACTTATAAAGCAATGATATATGCAACGTAAAACAGTTCAGGAGGGGAGAGGGCAAGCAAATTTTAACAATTAGAATGTAAACGTGAAAAAAAAAGATGGAATATAAGTCCCTACTTTTCACTTCTACTTAAGATGTCATGTGATAATATTTTACAGTGTCCTGCAGGGCTATATATGTATGTGTGTATTTCTGTGCACACACACATACATATACGCTTACCCACGCATGTACATACACAGATAATTTCAGTTCCATCATGGGCAGTTCTGTTATGCTGCTCAGTTGTCTCAATCATGTTTGGGACCCACTTTCTTGAAAAAACAGGGGAGATGGTAGGAAAAAAAATGGTGGGTCTGATTATGTCTGAGATCCTTTTGTTAAGACTGTACACTGGGATGAATAATTTTCTTCTGTAGTAGCTCTCTGAAGAGGGCCAACTCACTGTGGTCTTCAGGACGAGACTTGTTAACGGATCACACACTCATTGTCATGCTAGGGGAGTACTGAAAAAAGAGGAATTCACATTTTAACAACCGTTTTTTACCCAGGTAACTATAACCACTTCAGGACCAATGAGTTCAAATGTCAACATGCTCCTTGAATTTTCTCCTACATTTGTAGCCTGTGCAAAGGCTTGCAGTTCAATTTGCAGAATTATAATTTCTATTACCCTTCATTCATTATGTAAAAATACAGCTCTTACTGATTGAGTCAACTCACTCAAAGATTATTTCCGTGTTATCTGAGTGATGTGATGAGCCACTGCTTCAACGATGCTTTCCAGACCTTTTCCTGATTGATTTTGGTTACTGGGGATTTAGGTAGTCAAAGAGCTGATCTCAAGTAAAGCAGCTGCATTTGTGGTAAGCTGAACCACGTAAACATTTTGGAAGATCTTTTTATTACTTGATGGGAAGAACGGCATGCAGATAAGCCTGACTGGAATTCAGCTGCGCTTTTAGTCTCTATTATTCAGTGTTATTGACTTTAGGAGACAAGCTGAATCAGTGGCCACTCTTCTTTACGTGACCTGAAAGTTCAGTCACCACTTCAACTTATTATTTTAACACAAGCTAAACTGCAGCCCTTATAGAAGTTACAGTTGCCCTCCAGTCAGCATACTTTCTTACAAATAATCAGTGGCACAGCACAGTGCCTACAAGAACTCCACATCTGTATACCTAATTTGTGACTTGCAGACTATAGAAACTGAACCACCCTAAAATCATTGTAGAGGAAAATGTTCAAACACAAGAAATATTACTGTAATGAAAACTGATACAAGAAATGGAGATATTTATTTGTCTTTGTAAAAACAAGGCAGGCAGTGAAATAACCGCCAAAGCTGAAGCTTTGAGTTGGCTGAAGCTTTGAGTTGATTGCTTCCAAGTGTCTATGAATACCTGTTATGGGTCTCTGTCATGTTGAATGCACAGAATGGACTACTCAGATAAAACATCCCTGATGTTTTTTGTACTTTGAGGCTTGCTCTCATCCTGGGCTGAGCATTCTCACAGTGGGCCAGCATGCTTATGTTAGCCAATGAGAGAGAACAACTCAAATGTGTAAAGTAGACCTTTGTTCAAATGAATTTCTGTATTATAGTAAATGTCAGTGTATCCCTATAGTCACTTTGGAAAGGAATCTAAAGTCAAAATAATGCTTATCTGTCAGTTTTACTTTATTATAAGTTCCCCTAATCGCAATCAAAACCCTAATGAATGTCAAAGAAGTTCTGCCTTCAGTTCAGGCAAAGTAAGCCAAATTGAAAGTCACAGATTACCATGACCAAGGAACATCTAATTGAGGTTTTGTGTCTAGTGCTTTTTTGGTAGATTTTAAAACATCTATCTATTTAGGTGGTACAAACTGATTTCCTCCAATACTCCAACCAATTTGACCATATGCCCTCTTTCTGAAGATACCTGCAAAAACATGTAGAAACTCTCTTTCTTTTCACTTTCAAATAAGTAAATAATGACAACAACAAAACACCCCAAAATCTGATTCCCACTGAACTTGCCATGCAATTTTTCTGCTCTGTGATTTGAGAGGAACTGTTTATTCACATTTACTGAGTCAAAATTCACCACTGGCATAGTTAATGAAGTTGCACTCACTTCTGGCAGCAGTGATTTCCAATAAGAATAGAAGTGTTGAAGCCACTCAGCACTTCTGAAAAATCAGGCCACTTCTACTTAGGAACCTACATGTGGATTTAGAAACCCAGCTTCAGGCACAGGAGTAGGAAAATACCTTGCAATGTACTGTATACCATGTTTTGCTGCCGTAAGTGGTCTCCATTACAAAAAAAAAAAAACCACCATTTGTCCAAGAATGAACACTAGAGGGCACCTTTGCCTTTTCTGTCTTTGAGAGCATACTAACCTCCTCACAACACGAGATCTGGTGCTCTTATTTATATACTTCAGTGTGAATTTGTCCTAGAAGATATTCCTGCACTGTAAAACGCATTGTTTAGGAGTCAAAGGTTGAGCAATCACAAATTAAAATACTCAGATGTAAAGATCTGTACTTCAGCTGCTCAGATAGCACCTGATAAATGCCCACTCTGCATCACTGAACACTGAATGTATTTTTTTTTCCTTTTAAACAAAATACCAGGAACTAAAGTTCCCAAAGTAAAACAACTCCGTAAAAAAATACTTACGCTCTCACTCTGAAAAGGGTTTAGGAAGTTTCCACCCATCTCACCATCATCTCTGGGAGTGCCAGGCTGATTACTCATGCTCATATTACTGGGAGAGTTCTGTTAAACAAGATTTTAAAACACAGATTAAGTGCTGAACACCACTTAATTTCCAGGCTTCATGAAGTGTCACACACTCAATACTACAACACAGAGCAGCGCAGCATACTATGCAATGCACTGGATTTACAAAGAGAGATAAGACTGCTGAGTTCTGCAGGCTCATGTCAATAATTTCATGCCCATACAGACAGGTTCCCGGCCCTGAAGGAACAACTATTTACGTGTAGTTCTAATTTGCAGAGTTACTGCCACCATCTTCTCCTACCGAAGTCAGGAAAAACTATAAATGACTTCAGCAGGTCTAAGAGCAAGCTCTGGCACTGTGTTCATTCATATGGTCAAATCCAGCAAAGTCTACAAGCATGTGTCTTGACATACACAACTTCTGAAGGCATACCTGGTGGGCAACATGTGGACAGTATACACAGACCTCACTAATCAAGACCCATATCTAGTGACTCTGCTTACACTGTTAATGGAAATAGTTTCGCAATAGTTCAGGAATGTAGTCAGTCATGGAGGTGCTAAGCCACTTCACTGTGAGCAGGTAATAAGGAGTTTATAGGCAGCTGAGTTAAGAAGGATTCAGACAAAGTGCCCTCGATCCAGCCCCCAGATCAGACTTGCACAAAATTTCAGAAGCAGTTGTACTTTTGTATTTGCTTACACAGAGCCTGTTGCAAGAGTGTCTTAATTTACTTTTCCAGTGTCTAGTTGTAACTGAGATGCTAATTAATAGTAACAATACAAAGGCATCTGAAGAGAAATGTCTATTTTTAAAAAAATAGATACTACACAGTCAGATCTACAAGGTTCAGAAAATGATTTCAAGATTCAATTACTTACAGAAAGGATGAAACTAGTTAACTGTTACAGAAATTATTCAGTCAACAGCTAATACATGATTATGTCAGACACTACAATTCATTAGCTGTTTTCACAAAGCTCATTTGTGGCAACCTGTCATGCCTGGAGTACGAATGCTTCTATTTCTATCACTGCTAAGACTCCTGTTAACACAGGTCTTGTGATGGAAAAGGAATAGTCATGAAAATATGAAACCAGGATCTTCACTAGAAAAGTTTATGTCTGTCATAGTTTTCCCCTTGTGTCTTTTGATCCAAAAAATTGAATGTTATTGCTGTTGAATTTTAACAGTACAAATCCAAGTTTGATATGCCATTATGAACTTAACAAAAATCCAGTGCAGTCAATGAGCAAGCTGATAAAATACAACTTTATTTTGTCCTAAGTGACCAAATAGCAACAACTCAAAGAACCCTGAGTCATCCTTTTTTTTTTTTGTATGTTATTTCCCAATTAGAATAACAGAAAGTATGCCTGCTAGCATAATTTTATAAGACTTCTTTAAAAAAGATGCACTGTACTTTGAAAATACCTGCAGAAAGTATTCATTTAGGATGACTCAGTTTGCAGTAGGATAAACTATGACTGAAAAAAATAGGAAAGATTAAATTAAGAGAAAGACCCCTTAATTCCTTGGTATTCCCCACTACTGCAAAGCCTATCCACCCCACAGTGGCTTTACAAAGAATTCCAGAAGGGTTGAGGCTGGCATAGTCTCCCTGTCCCAGCCCCTGCTTCAGCAGGAGCTCTTAGAGGAGGGTGCCCAGGCTCACGCCCAGGTGGCTTTTGGCGATCTTCAAGAGGAGATCCCACAGATTCTGTGTCCCTGTGCCAGTGCTCCGTCACCTGCACAGCACAGAATGCTGTCTGATAGTCAGAAGGAACCTCCTGCACTTCAGCTTGTGCCCAGTGCCTTTTCTTCTGTCACAGGCACCACTGACAAGAGCCTGGCTCCATTCAGTGGTGCTCAATGGCAGGAAATAACATGTTCTGGAGAATTCATTGAATAGCTATGACTTCTTCCCCTTCAAACCCAATTTTTGAATGCTCCTATTGGTACTCTAAAAGCTCCATTTTGTCCTCTGTCCATGATTTAAATATTACAAAATGTTACAGAATTCCACAGGAATTCCACCACCAGGAAGAACAAAATGTAATTTGTACCTAGCTTCTCCAAAGCTTAAATCTGTTACCTTTTGTTACCATACGAGCAGACTAGTGGGACTGATTGTTGTACATGCCATCTGCTTTGAAATGCCTTTTGCTCAGCTAATGAAAAGCTGCCATTAAGTTTTTACCATAATCTTTATCACCATTTTCAATCTGAATGGTTACAGGTTCAGTTTGGTGTATCTATTTGCAACTATAGATTAATTATTAAATTATTACATAATCCACGTGAAAGCATAACTGTTTTGATAAGCAACCTGAAACATTATTTCAATTTGGTCAAGACCTTGGCCTTCTGTTTTCTTTACCATCTCATTCACTCTGCTTCTAATGGTGATTCTCAGATCCCCTGGAATCACAGGACAGCCACACCAACAAAAACATCAGCAAATTAACTAATTAACACCAGGCAATTACATTTGTTCTTTAGTGAAGTTATTGGAGCAAATTTTTAGGGATCCACAGTTTTAAAAGGTTGAAAACTACTGCCTCAGTTCAACCACGCCCACCAGACCCAAAGCAGGAACTAATTCAGGGTAGTCCTGTTGCCTATGTTATGCAGGAGGTCATACTACACAATCATAGCAGTCCCTTCTGGCCTTAAAATCTATGAATATAAAATTTAAAACTCACTAAGGCCTTGTCACATTTATTTTATATGTTGCTCCTGTACTTTTGATCATTCCTTGGGGATTTACCCCTATTTTATCTTGCTCTGTTATAGTACAAAGCTTTGAAATTCTGCAATTGCTACAGTATGCCAGCCCCAAAGGTTCAAATTCCTGACATAAATGCTTTTATAGCAACTCCCCTGGGTGGCTTTTATGGCCAGTATGGGGTTTCTCATTGTAGCTCTAGCTGAATTTTTCCAAAGCTAGTATTTCTTTGATGACTGCACAAATTCCACGGGCACTGAAAGAAACACTGGTTATTAATGTTTATTTAATATGCATAATTTCAGTTCATTTACTTCTTCCATCTCAATCTACTTCATAAAAGCTTCATGTTTTGCCATTCAGCCAATTAAAGTAAAATTGTCTCTGTCTATGGAAAATGTAGCTCTGAATTCTGTGAGCTGTACTGACTCTACCAAGGCTGGATTAATTTCCTTTATCTCATGGGAAAAGACAATCAGACTACTCTAATATGCATTTTAATCCACTGGAGTTCTACAGCTGTATCTGAGCATCCAGCAACGCCCAACCAAACTCTGTTAGCTCCACTGAACAATTCCTGTCATATTAGTTAGTAATCTGGAAATCTGTGCGTGAAAGAGCCAACTGCAGGACTAGCTGGTGATGTGTAAAGGGAGACTGCTGCTGTAACCAGAACAATCCTGGTACGTGCACAAAATTGGAAGGCGGACATGTAGCAATTCCGCGTGCATCAACTCTATAAATACACAGTTTCCTGCAAGCAGAACCTCCAATCAAATTTCTAAAGTATTATGTAGTACTATCTGCATGAAGTTGTCACTGCAACACACAAGGCTCTGCCCACACACTTGACAGAATCACAGAATTGTAGGGTTGGAAGGGACCTCCAGAGATCATCGAGTCCAACCCCCTGCCAAAGCAGGTTCCCTACAGCAGGTCACACAAGTAGGTGCCCGCATGCCACTTCTTCTGGTACCAGTGAAGGCTGCATGTTGGGCTGTGCTATTAAGAAAAAGGTATTACAAGTGATTATAAAGAATGGTGTAACAAGACAACTCTGTTACTTCCAGAGTAAATACCTTTTTCTTTTAGTTACTTGAAGACGTGCCTCCAATCTGATTTGCATGATATTTATTAAGGTCAACAAATTACAGGACTTCCAGGTAAATGTCCGGATCCAGGTTTTCAGAATATCTGATTATCATGAGTGAATATACTGATACTTATTACCAGTGGGTTTAGTATAGTCTTTTCAAAATAATCCTATGGCAAGCTAATAGATATGGCTTTATTGCTCTCCATTTTTTCTTAAAAGTGCTGCAGTTCGCAAAACTAAACATTACAGGAACATTGATTTTAAAGTGATGTACGGCTGTTATCATTGAATCCACCTCTGCAGCTCTCAGCATAGCTCATCTAGGACAATATGGTCATTTCAGACCCTTATTTTACACTTTGCAGGGCCTGAACACAATGCAGACCTTAAAGGCTTACAAAAACACAGCACTGCTATCTATACATGCTACTGCATCACAGGAGCAGCAGCCAGCTCCAAGACACAGTGCTGAAGTACTTCTCTTCAGGAACGGCCACAGAGGGCTGTTGTAAGGCCATAACCACCTGTGCAATTCTGAAATTATGCTGTTCGCCTGCAGTGAATTTCTTCTGATGCAAGATAATGTCTTCTATATTGGCTGCAACTGCAAATCCATTATGAACAGCACAGCACACTGTGATACATGCCTATGCACATTTTACAAGCTGCACTTCTCCCACAGCCCTACCTGAGCACCACCTGGGGAACAGTTCAGGCTCCTCCTTCTCCACTTTAGAAATACAAATACATTTCACTAACTATACGTGCCTTTTGGACAGTTGGGAGTGTATTCTCAGCCTACAAATTCCTTCTATTTCAACAGAAATTTAGGTGTCTATGTGTTTGCATTTCACCATAGCCCAGGGCCAGCCTGAGGGTGCATCAACAATGATATCCTCAGTAGGACCACAGCATCCACAGACATGTCCAAAATAAAAAAGTTTGCACTGCAAAGGATGTCACAACAGTTCTGTAGTACTTAGTCCTGAGCCAGCCAAAGTACAAGAGCAGTTCATACACTTATCACAGATTCATGCTCCTTTTTGGGAAGATTGTTAAGAATTTTGCAACAAAAGAACAAGCTACAGAATTTTAACTGAAACAAACTGTTCCTCCTTTTCTATATTTGTAGATCAAAAGCACAAAAGTGCAGTGGTTTACTGATATACTTATTAATTTTAGTCAGTTACAGCTGAAGACACTGAGTACAAAACAGTAGTTCACAGATTTATACTGCTTTATCAATGCCAAATAAGCTCATTAACTCCTTATTTGAATAAGTTCCTAAATTAATAATGATCACATGCATACTAGAGTTCTATTTTTATGAAAGAAGTGACATATTAAAGCATGATATGATTTTTGTAGATGCAAAACCCCTGCAGGTTAAGCTCACATTTGTTCTGAGTAAACTATTTAATGATTGTGGAATCAAAACAGTGACTCTTCTGCAAGTACTTTTAAATCTAGCTTTTAGAGACTGATTAAGATACTAACTATGCTTTACGGAGGTGACAAAGACAATCATGCACTGCACAAAAGTAACATCCTTAAGGCATCTTCTCCAACTTGCACCTAGTGATATTTGATTATTAGAACTGTGCTATCATTCAATTTTTGAATGGCTTGGGTTTGAAGGTACCTCAGAGTTCACTCAGTTCCACTCCCCGTGCCCTGGGCAGGTTGCCTTCCCCTCCCCCCCAGCTCAGACTGCCCAGGGCCTCATCCAATCTGGCCCTGATCGTCTCCAGGGATGGGGCACCCACAGCTCTCCGGGCAGCTGTGCCAGGGTCTCACCATCCTCACTGTGGAGAGTTCCTTCCTTATGTATGTGTTCATTTGTCTTAGTATGGAAGGTTGTAACATGATCAATCAAAATATGAAATGAATATATATCAATCACATGCATTAGTACACAGTATTACACAATACAAAGTGACTCTATTTATATTCTCTACTGATCAAAGACATTGCTTTAAAATTTTCAGCTAATATTTATTGTCTGCATAGTCTCCAAATAGTTAACGAGCAGAAAATGTAGATACATAACAAAAAGATTCATAACAAAGAAAATATGCTTACGATGAAATATTAAAAAACGTTACTAGGTACTCACTTTGGAAATACTGTCCATGTCTCCTGAGCCTTAAATTAAAACAAAATTATTATTCAATTAGTTTTGAACTGAAATTACTCAAAAAGCTTTTTTTCCATACTAAGTATGACAGTAGTATTTTAAAATTTACCAGTTCACTATCTCCTTCCTTCCCAGTATCTCATTTTGTAAAAGTTTACTGTCAATATAGGATGATGTTAGTTTCATGCACGCACCTACTGTAAAAAGAAAAGAATGAAGGACACATTCCTCATCTGCACTGCCAATTTGAATCACATCTGCTAGGGTGAGACAGCATAGTACAAGCTGAAGAAGAGTACGTCCAACCTCCCTGACTTCTTAGCCAGGGCAGGGTACAGGCAATGGAATTAATTTGGGGTACATACACCTAAGAGAAAAAAACATACACCTAAGGGGAAAAAAAAACAAAAGCAAAGTGGTGGACAACTAGTGGAAGTTAATGTTGGTGGGGTAAAAAAAAGAAACACTATTTTTACTGAATTTTAGTTATTCAGAACTCCCTTTTAAGAAGCGCTCTAGTGAATTCTTGTTCATCAGTGCCTTTGCTCAAAAAGCACTAACCTACACTCAAACTGGCTGAGATGATACCCACTTTTAATGTATTACAGACACTGATGATGACATTATCATTTAGAAGCAGATGATCCTCGGGGTTGGAATAACAGAAACCAAATAAACTGGAATACAATGAATGAAAGACTACTGGCAAGATTTTTTTTAACATGTTCTCACTTTGGTAAAGACAAGAATAAAGGAAATATTTTAGGAGGGATGTATCACAGAAAGCATTTTTAGCAGCAACAGACAATAAACAATTCTGCTTACCTATTTAGAGGAAAGACACTCCAATTAGAAGAGTGTCAGAGAAAAAACAATGAAGCAAATGGGGTTGTGGGGGGTGACTGAAGTAGCTTAGACATAGCCACAGAAAACAAAGCTTGAGAAAGAATAAGATATCTCCCCACAAATGCATCAAATTCACAAATGTTATGAAGAGCTATTTTGTCACAGCCAAAAGAACACACATTGGTGGAAACGAGCAAAATATTTCTAACCACCAGCTCTGCATAGCTCTACCACCAGTAGAGCAGTTGTGGTCAAAGGAAGATGGTAAGTACAATTAACACCTTTGATTGCGAGACACTGCTGCCTACTGCAGCACGGAAATGAAAGCAGATCTCCCCCAGCCTTTCTCTGCAGAAAGAACTCAATTTCATTTTCAATTCAAAATTAACCTTATGAAGAAGTCATAGTTGATTTGACTAAGCATGTAACCATTTTCACTGCCAGAAGTAACTAAACAAATGCTACATACATACAAAATCCTCTTACAACTGTTTCAATTTTGTTTTTTATTTCATCCAAGAAACAATTCTATGGCTATGGAAACTGACAGAAAAAGATGTAATTACCTTTTGTGCAGTTTCTCAATTATTTGCACGTAATGCGCATCATTACTAAGTAAAGCAACAACCCATTTTAGGATTGTAATCTGTAAAGTAAGACTGTAAAATCTCTAAATGCCCTTACATAAAGTATTTTAGGAATTTTAGGAACCTGTCCTCCCACAAATGAGAGACAATTCTAGGAATTAGATGTGTACTGTTGAATTTTAGTTGTTCAGAACGTATCTCCTAAATAAATTTTGATAGCATAGCTATTTTTCATCTTGTTATAAACTTTTTTTGAAATTTCTTCCTTTGTTTTGCCTTTTTATGATTCTGTCTCACAGACTGCAAGTCTGGTGTTAGGAATGAGAGATATTTCTTTGCCATGAGAGTATAGAATTAAATGTTATTAATTGCAGGATGAAGATAAGGTTCATCCACACCCATGCTGTGAAGATGACAGAGCTTTTTGCCAGGGACAAAAGCCAGATGGAAGTGGCAGCTTGGCTTCTACCAGCTGGACCTGTATTTAGCTTGCTGGGTTTTTTCCCCATAAAGGAAAATGGCACTCAGGAGAAAGCTGCTGGTGCTTTGTGGAGGCAGCTCTTACATGTAAAAGAGAACCTCGCCTGGCAAACAACAGAGACAGAAGTTGTTGCCTGTCACTGGAAGATGGAAGAGTAAGACACGTGAACTGTATTCATAGTTATTGCCCTGTTGTGAGCAGAAATAAATTCCTTGTCTCTACTTCATATGGGTATGGAGAAGTAAGGCAGAAATGCAATTTATTTAACTGTCCCTTGTTTCTTACATTCTTTTCAAGTGTCTATCATCCTTCTAGCAAAGAGCAAAAGCAAAGAGCAAGGAGCTTGCTAGTCAACAGATAAAGCAATTAATGTTTTGTAGAGCTGTGCAAGGTTTCTCCCTTAGATTTGTGTCCTTCAAAAATTACAGTATCAAAAGGCAATGTGGTTAGAGTGTTTGTACACTCTAAGAAAATAGCATGCTCTGTCTTGCTGCATTAGAATTGGCACTTGTATGATGCTGCTTCTGTGGATGGAGTAGTAACACTAATTATTAACAGGAGGATGGCTAATTATAGAACAAATGAAGATATCCAACTGTTGGGATAAAAAAACTTCAACGCATACATCAATATATGTAATAACTTACTTTCAAGTAATTCATTAGAGCCTGCACCAGCATGTCAGAGTAACACCTCTAGTTTTTGAAAGACGAGAAGTAAAAATGGGTCATAAGCCATCACTTCCACTTAACTGTCATTACATACACACTTCTAGAGTGTTTTCAATCCTCTGGGATAAAACTATACTTTGTTACATTAATACAATACAGAATTTTTCTTCCAGAGCTACATTATATATGCCAATTCACAAGCATAAAAAGTATCCTAATACTTTTACCTGATGTATTTATAGCTATTTTTTAACAAGATTTTTACATACAGTTTTCCACATCACTCAGAGAACACAGAAAATGGCACTGGTTGTTGAAAATTCACAATGTCTGTGATATTACTATTATTACCTAATGATCCATTCATATGATGTGAATCCATTCCACCCAGTCCACTCATAGGTCCATCTGACCCTGGCCCCATTGGAAACTATAAAAGGACATTAAAAACTGGTATTACTGTACAGATTTTTTATTAGATGTCATCTAATAAAAAGAAAATATTCTTCAGGACAAAAATAGAAAAGTACACAGTCCCAGATCTGAATGTGAAAGTCAAGTGAAAGTCCAATGCTAGACTGAAAAACCCTTCATGATCTTTTGAGAACTTCACCTCTATAGGCTGGCACAAAATTTAGCAATAATTCATTACTCACTTCAGTACCTTGTGTATGATTTTCAGACCTGCTAGTGCAGACCTAGCTCTATTCCCATTGAACTTACAGGGAATTTTACTATTCTCTTCAACAAGTGCTTTATTAACGAACAGCTTTCATACCCCATCCTATCTATACTGACAATCAGATATATTTGCAGTGTGAGTAGTTTCTGTCCAATTGTAGTTATTAACCTTAATTCAGTTTACAAAAACTCAGAGGCATTAACATTGTAGAATATTTGGCAATCTGACAACTAAGCTATCACTAAGACCCACAAGCACAAGTTTCTAAGCTCTCATCCATGTAGAAAAAGTGCCCCAATCATTATTTTATACATACTGTTATGATTGATTTGAGAAACATTAAAAAGGACAGGGAAACAGCTAAAGCATCATCCATAATAACAGAAAACTTATTATTAATACTATCTGATGTAAATGTAGCAGTTTTGGATAGAACAACCCATGTTATTCAAATAGTATATAACTAGATTCATATTTACATTAGGTCTGTTGGGTCCAGGTGGTACTGCATTCATTAAAGTGTACATGTTGTCTCCAGAGTTGGTTGAATCTGTAATAAGAGATTATTTTAAGTGCCAATATGTATATTTCAATGAATCTGCTCACCTAAGTCATTTCTTGTCATTGTGTACATATTGTTTCCTGAATCACTGTTACACAGTAGCAATATAAAGGAAGATTTCAATCCCTTTCGATCTATTTTTATCACACAACAGAGCTACGAAAAGAAATAATTGCAGTGATCCCTGAGTGACTATTTCTAGACTCGAGTTTTACACATGACTGTTAAAAGGTTTATAAATCACCCAGTATCTATTTAATTCCATAAACCCTTTCTCCTGGACCTCCAAATTATTTCAGTTATCTTTGACATTCTCTATAAAACAGGAGTCTCTTTCTTATCAATACTTTCTGTAATTTGTTTTCCATCTGTAATAAATGATAAATAGTTTCCCATTACACAGACTTCAAGTTAGTATAGTAAATGGAATTTTTCATTCTTTCTCATCTGTGTCAGTCCATTAGATTTCGAACATATCTAGCTATTCAACAGAGCACAGTGCAAAGATCCTCACTTTAAGAACAGCTTTAGTTGATCTGTCTTCAAGGTGCAGTGTGGTGCAATGCTTCAAAACAAACCTGTGTTCAAAACCAAAAAAACTATTCTGGAGCAGCATAGTGCTTCAGCTATTAATTCTGACAAGAGTTTCACTGGGCCTTGCTGTAGACACAGCTGTAAGACTTGATCTCCAATTAATGTGCATGAACTTTCTTCCCTGGCGGAGTACTGCACCCCCAGCGTGAAACACAAGATGTAGCTAGCAAGACATATAGGAGTCTTCAGGTTGAACAGAGGAAGCCAATAGGTGAGAATCACTATTAGATACAAATTATTCATTCTGATCTCAAACTTATCTGCTAACAGATACAAAGTCTTAACACCTTTCATCAAAATATCAAAGAAAGGGAAAGGAAAAAATGCAGCAGATGGTGGACAAATTAGCAAAAGTCTTTCCCAAGGTAATCTGAGAAGAAATAGGCCATATAATGAAGAATTCTCTGAAAGGTGAATGTCTTAGGTAAACAGCTTGAAGGGGACAGCATAACATTAAAAAAAATACTGGCAGCTCTGGAAAACCTGTAACCTCCACAATATCTGCAAAAAGATCTCAAACAGACCATTCAATTTCTTTGAATCAGAGTTATGAACTCCAGCCCATGCAAAATTCAATACTGAGCTGGAAATATTTTTTTCCAAAACAAGGTGATGGATGTCTTCTAAGTCTGAAGTAGTGAAAGTAAAATAGCCTACATCTGATAGAAACGTGTTGGAATTGGGAATGCGGCCTGATCTTGCGCAAGAATATATTTGCACACTGCATTAATTAAAATCAAGATCTTTGCCTATTTCCCAGTCTTTCTGATGTAGCATTTTAAGTTTCAAATAACCTTGGTAAGTAAATAATTTCATTATACACAGAGCTATATTATACACTAGGACATCCAAATGTATTGTTTGTAAAAAGAGGGGAAATGCAAGCTTTTAACTTCAAGTTATCACAGTGAAAGTAGCATACAGCAAGCTATTTTAAGGTTTGATGAGAAGTTCTTCAACCAAAAGATTGTTTTGAGACATTCCATCTCTGGCTCTCCCCAGGCCTTAGGAACACTCGGGACTGTTTTTCTCAAATAAATACCTTTATAAAACTCTCAGATGGATAATTCCTAAACATCTGCACACTTTGGAAAACAGAGCGCTAAAAATTTTTGAGTATCTTCAAATGAAAATAGGAAAAATTTCTCCACAGAAGCTTTACCTGAAATGCACGTGGACAGCCTAACATGTGCCGTAACTGCAGGGCTGTTTATTTTTAAAAGCTTAGGCTGTCTTGAAGTTTTACGATAAAATAAATTCTGACTTTTAAATGCCAGCTTGCTCTATGTATCTTTTTCCACAAGTGATATAGCTGATGAAGCCCTACTCTCCACCTTGTGTTTTTAAAGCCTTGGAATTGTAATTAAAGAAAATATTATATTGATGCAAGAAGTTTTCATGGGAAATTAGGTAACTTCCCTGCCCTCATACACTACAGAGGATAGCAAGAACATGTTGGATTTAAAGACTGAGGATTCTATTTCATCACTGAGGTGAAAAGGTCTATCTTAGTTGGGTAAAGTGCATTACAAAGACAAATGTTGTCCAAAAGGACTCTGAGTAGCTACTAAATACTGTGTAATGTATTTAGTTTCATCTTAGACTCCCAATGTTGTCCACAAGGAAGGACAGCATGTCGTCCACATGTTCCACATGTTGTGATTTTTCCCTTCTTTGCAGAACAATGATGTAGTATCTGTCTGACAAATTTTAAGCCTTGAAAAGGTAGTTAGCTGGCCTGAATCTTCCCATCCTGATCAGTTCTTCAAACCTTGGTAGTAGCGTGGCCAGTCTTTTGTCACCACTTGTCAGAATGCCAATATACAGACCATGTAACTAGGGAAACAATGGGGCCCTGAAGATCTGGAAACAGATAACTGATAGAACACAATAAGGGTCCTTCTTACTCTTCCACAGCAGGATGGAGGAGAACCATCTGCCCAGAATAGCCTGCTGCCAGATGACACAGCCATGCCTGTGAGTTACACTTCATCCGAGATCCACAGGATGGTCAGGTCTGTCCCACAGGATACTACAATGGAGTTTTACCAGTTCAGAGATCTCCTCATTTCCAGCCTGGCAGAATTGTCCCAGATAACTTTGGCAAAAACAAAGAAAGACTGTGTCTTTTTTCCTTTTTTTTTGTTTTCTTTTCTACTGTTGAAATAATGCAAGAAAGGTTGGGCTAGAAATGAACTGCTTTGAACTGTACAGACATAATGACTTGTATGCCTCTAAGACAGCAGGGACAGAAAGGGAGTTAGAGAGCAGGAAAAAATTATATAGAACATATAAACATAATAATTTCTCATTAAAATCAAAGTTTATAACAATAATGTACTTCCTAAAATCCCTCATAATTTTCTTTCATAGTTGCTAAGTACATTTCAGTACCTGCTGGACTAGGCATGATGGGTGTTCCTGGTGGCCCTCCACCTCCTGGAGGACCCTAGAGAGAGTAGAAAATGTCAGTTAGAATGAAGTGAAAAAATACCATAGAAAAAAAAATGAACACAGCACAAATGAAAACAAAGTATAAATGTCCCAAGTTGCTCTGATAAAAATACACACATTTTCTGATAAGCCAGCAGAACAGCTTCTAAGAGACTGAGACAACGCAATTGCTCAGCAAGTTCTGGCATAAACCTATGTACACAGCTATACTGACAAAAGAATATCCGCTAGTCAGTAACTGTATCACAATGTGAGTCAGACAAAAGAAATAACCTGGATCAGGGCCTGAAGGGGTTTCTCTTAGACAGTATCTCAGTGCCTTAGCCAACTTAATTCACTTAATTGTATAATATTCTACATTTTTGAAAAATAGCATCTGTATACACAGTTCCTTCTAAAACTAATGACAAATAGATAAAAAAGTCAGTTTAGTTGTGGCTCCATAAGTTTGTGTACAGTTGTATCACTTGTCTAGACTGCTAAATCATATATTACAAACAGCAACAAAACGCAAAACAAGCAAGGAATATTACTTCCTTAGTTTCAGGTATTCTTGTGTTACAGTTTTTACAAATAAGTGCCGTAGACCGACACGTCTGGCTTTTAAAGTTTATTTAGAAACAACTTCATTATTTTTATTATAAATACTCTAATTGTTTACTAAGCACAGAACTACAGCTTCTTGCTTATATTTCCAGACCCACTAGCATTTTTAAGCAACATGAGGAACTACCAAATCAGTTTTATAAAAATGCCTGTGTCAATAAAATGTCAATAAATATAACTTGCTCCTCCTCTGCATAATAAAAAACACACAGGTTGGGAACAACAGGTGAGTATTTTCAGTGCTATATGAATGTTATTATATTTTATCTCTTTTATGGTACTTTAAAACAGCAGACAGAGTTTTAAAGTAGCAGATTTTCAAGTAACACTGACTACACAGGTTTGGCTGCTCCTATCTGCTTACAAGGACTATTGCAGGGATTTGCTATAAATCACTGAGATATTTTGGAAAGAAGCAACAAAGTTTTGGATTTAAAACAATAAGCTTTTTCTCTCAGTGATCTATAAAACTAACATTTCTTACACAACAGAAGCAATGATACACTAACGTACAATGCTTTTATGCAATAAAAATCAGTAACATAGCAGCTTTCTGATTGATACATTCCTGCCTCTGCTCATTCAAGCAAAGCACTTATCACATCAGAAGCAAGCCTCTCTATTTGCTAACAGGTGATTAACTCACAGTTAATTGTAAATGAAACAGAAACTTTGAATACTAAGCTCAGAAACTCCATGATTTTAGGTTTATATTATTTTTTCAGACACGGTATAAAGAGGTGTAGAAACCACTAACTGGTCATTTATTAGAATAGTAACTCACATTCACTGTTAATAACTGCATCTAATATAAGTTTGGTCTTTACCCTCAGTGTGTGTATATACCTGTCTTCAAAAAAAGCCTCGTAGTGATTTTCATACTAATGATTTTGCCTTTCAGAATATATTTTTATATATTGAAATTATTTCTCAAAAAGCTGTATGATAAAATAGACAGAATAAGCTCCCAAATTAAGCAGTTCCATAACATGAGACCTTTGACTAAAAAACTGCTTTAAGAGCTCTCCAGCTCACACCAGCCCCCACATGATTGCTACTGTTCTGTTCTAGCAAACTCCTGCCCCCGAGCTTTGCTTATTTAACTGTCTGTATGGCTGACCATCACGTGTTCCATTTTCCAAATTGCAGAGAGCCTCTGTGAAGCAAGACTACCTCTTTAGGGTCAAACAAGACATACAGTGTGCAACCATTCATAGTGGCAAAAACTTTCATCCCTTGGCACACCTCATCGCCACCACCGCACTCTGCAAGAGGCAGTCTCTGCTCTGATAGGATCTTCATGAGTGGGTGCCCCTCAATCTTTTCTGGCTCAATCTCACAGCTTTACGAAGAATCTAATTCTCCAAATGCTTACATCAACTTCAGTTGTTTTGAATGAAGAGAAGCATTCATCCTAGGAACAACCTAGGACTGGTAAACTTCAGCAGAACAGTGGGGACAAAGAATTAGGCAGCAACCTCTCCCATGGGCACAGCTGGAGTTCACAGAGCACATCTACTCAGAAGCTCAGGCATTTTTTTCCAGTACTTTAATTTTTTCTGTGTCTCCTTCTTGCATCTTCACATATACTGCAATTTTTCTTCAACGTTGCAAGTTAGAGATAGCAAACCACCACCAGTCTCATCACTGCCACTTGCGTGAATTAAAATCACCTCATTATGCTTATTCCTTTTCTGCTGTTTATACACTGAAATATGTTGATGTCTTTTTTTGAATGTCACTTATCTCAGCTGACATTTGCCTTAGTATGTGTACAACAGAGAGAGTCCTTCAGTACAATGTCTGTTTTACTTAGTTTTACCTCTTTAAAATTAATTTCTTTACCATTTCTTTTTCTAGTTTTTCAAGACTTCAGATATTTCAAAGGCTAAAATATGAAGTCCAGTGCACCATTTCCAAGATCTGCAACAAGTGATCACTAGTATCTAGGGCAAAAACAGCAAAAACAACCTTCCCAACAGAGAGAACTTCCTGAAGTCGATTCAAAGAATTTGCTTGGACATCAGCAGATTTAGACTGTGTAAATCAGGCAAATGAGCCCTAGAATTATGGATACTTATCGGAAACTTAATCTCTTCAACAGCTAATTGTTTAAATAAAAGACAAAATTTTTAACAAGCTCATCCTTGAGCTCATCCTTCAAGCATTATCTCTGAAGGATCATCTCTATTATGAAGAAATAACGAGAAACCTACATGCAGCAGAAACAGGTTAAAAAACCACTGGTATATTGTCCTTGTGGTGAAAGACTTGATATTCCCTTGTTCTGAAACAGAGTCATGTTTTTGTTGACCCAAGCTAAAACATGACAGTTATCTGACCTTCAGAAAATGAAAAATGAAGAGAATATGGACTGTCCAGAAAACTGGAATCCAACAACTTGCAAACAAGAATGACAAATGGCAAATGGCTACAGATAGGAGACAAAATTCTCCTCCCATTACACCATGACTTCAATACTAAATGTGATATAATATATAAAACAATATGCCTTAGAGGAGTAGAAGGGAAGTAAGATAACCCAAGTACAACAGTAACAACAGCAATTAAAACTCTAAAGGTTAAACAAAGTTAATCTCTTGGGACACAAACAAATATGAGCAGCACATACTCCAACAAAGACTTTTGTTGATACGTAAAATGCTCTTGTGAAGTTCCAGAGAGATGGTTAGCGTTCTGTGATCCACAGAATAACAGATCAATGCTGGGCATGATGACAGTGTTTTAACTATTTCATTCTAAGGTACAGACTAGGAAAAAGAAAAGCCACTGACTAATCCATAACAAACTAAGACAATCTCTGTCAAAGAAGGACATAATAGACTACAGAAAAAAGATTTTCCAAGCCTTCAGGAGGTAATTAAGAGAATAAAAATTGACATTAAAATGTTAGCTAGTATCATCCATTTATATATTTCTTCGGGGAGATAAAAGTTTGCATTCATTCTTCAAATGCTTTTTTTTTGTCCCTGAAGAAGTTTAGGAATTCATGCATGATATTATGTTTCCAATATAGCTGGGTTTTTCTGCCTTATTATATAAGACAATATATTGTATTGGTTATTATAAACATGTTGAAATAAAACAGCGCACAGACTCATTTTGACCAGCCTGATAATGATTCCTGTAATAAACATCAACATATGTACCAAAGATGGCAGACAAAATACTAAGTGTCAATCAGATGTTCAGTACTCAGCCAATACCCCAAGGTTCTTCTTAACATCTGGACTGTTATTCCTTTGCCTAAATAAAATGTAATATCTATTCTAATAAGTAAACACACACAGTTGTACTTACTACATAATTCCCAGGAGATGCTGAAGAATAAGGTATCTATAACATCAACAGAAACAAAAGAGTAGGTTTTTCTGCAGTGACATGAAGTTCATGCCAATATTTATGAAGAGTTATAGGTTAATGCATTTTCGTTTGTTTCCAACACGTAGTGAATAATGATGGAAACATATTGTTGTCTTCAAACATAAACACCTTTTCAACACCTTGTTCAACAACAAGTCTAAAATTTGCAATATAGACACAAACTAGATTTCATATCAAATACTTCCATTTAAGGTTACTGTGTCCTCGTGGCCACCCTAATGAAAACAATACAAATAATTCATACATTTAAATGTATGCAAACTGGGGTCTGGTGTGCGTGACACACTGAATTTGTATGTTCTTACATATACTTAAGCTTGATTAAAATCTGGACCACAGGAGGAAACAGACTCTTGTTTTGTTCACCCTAGAAGCTACTGATTTTATTTCTCAGCATTATTCTTTCTTCTTTCTTTTTGAAGGACAGTGTCCTAATTTCATGTAAAATTCAACTACGGTATTTGTTACACAGAATATATTCAGAAATCCAATTGGCTATGAATAACTCAATTTTCTTCTTTATGCAATACTCTTTTCAATGATTCATTCTTAAGGAATATGGAGCAGTGCCATTATAGGAGGATGAGGTAAGAAGAAACTTAATTGATAAAAGATACATTATTTTGTAGAATAAGCATCTTACTTGAGTGTAAATAACTTACAATCCAACTCATTTTACATATATTATTACACATATTTATTACTGAACTTCTCTATTCAATTTGTAGATTTTATTTCTCAAATAAAATAAATAAATGAGAAATAAAATCAACCACCCACTGAAAAATATCCTTTTTTAGTTGAGTCCATGCAAAAGAAAACTGAGGTAGTTTCAGCTCTTTCTTTCTGCAATTGTCTTTCAGTATAGTTAAAAATTCAAAACTGAGAACAGAAAGAATCAGTCCATTCTGTTCAACAAGATTTACCTTATTCCACTGCAAGTGCTAAAAAGGGATATATTTTTACACTAATGATAAATGACTGTCGAATGAAAATGAAAACTCTGCCTTTGTGTTTTCTGAGGAAGTAGCAGACACTGTTTCTCACACGGGATACCTTACTGACCTCCTCTTCCTTCAAGCTGCTATAAGACTATCTCATTTTGTAGTTTTTGCAACAAAATTCAATAGTGTATTACTTGTTACAAAAAGCCTGCCAAAAATGGCTCATCTCTGTTATTTGACATTCCCTGGTTAACAGGAGCAAACGTGCTTTTGTTATATGAAATACATGAGCACACATTTAGTTTCTGTAGAGACTGCAAGCCAGATAGCTTTGCCCTAACTCTTCCTACTTGCACTAAAGGAAGTGAGAATGTATTTTAAACATCCTCCATGGCAACATTCATCTTCAGGAGGGTCTGTAACTGATATGGAGATGTAGAGCTGCAGTGTGATCATGAAAAGAGCTAAATATTCACAGGTCACTGAGTCCTCTGTTAAGATACACTCATCACTGTACCTAATCTGCAATAGGATTAGCAGGAAAAAACAGAACGTATGCGCAGCACTTTAAATGGTGAATAAGTAGATTGTGTTTTTCTTCCTGGAGTACTGATGAGAAATAATTCCCTGAATGTAAAATGATATTTAATATATTTAAATACTTACGGAATTGGCATTAGTTGGATTTGGCCAAGGTCTACCACCCCCTGGGCCCCTGTAATAGAAAATGAAAGATGAGACACAGAACAATTCCCTTTACTAGACCCATTTTGAGGAAGCTAATATTTCAGAGTAACTTATTACCAGAATAAGTCATGAGATGGCTTTTTTCAAATTACATTACAGTGTGATTATCAACCACACCAAGTTACAGTGTTGCAGCAAAGCTCGCATTGTTGCACAACCTTCTTCACTTTATCAGTTCATGAGCTGATGAAAGATCGCTTATGAATACTGCCCTGTCATTCACAATTCAGACACCTTGGGTCCTAACTCATTCTGTACATACGTGCTTTTCAGGACACTACTGGTAACACACCCTTTGCCTAGCACTTTTATTAACATTTTTATGTTTGTAGGAATTATCACACATTCCACAATAATCTTGCTACTATAATGACCAAAGAACAAAAGTATTAAAATGCAAGTGCAATCTCAATCATCAGAGCTGTACTTTTGATAATGTAATGAAGTACCTCCCTGAAAAACTGTGGATACATGTATGTATTGAGTATAACTCTGCATGTATAATACAGTTTCATTAGCATTAGTGCTCTCCTTAAAAAAGTTTTGGCAACAAATACATTTTACAAAAAGAAGCCAGAGAAAATTACCTGCTCTAATATGTGTCTGAGAAGCATACATAGTACATACCTATATCATAATATAAAATAGTGTATATACTTACTAAAAAATGAAAGCTTGCCATTTTATACATACAATTTAACATATCTAAATAAGCACCTACAAACACGTTGCTACTTTTACTAAGGATACATTATCTCCGCAGCCATATCAAAAACATAAAATTTGTTATTAATCAGTCAAAATGGAAATTTCAGACTTCTCAGACATGCTTGTTACACTTGGCTCAAGCAGCATATTTATGATTAAGTAGCAGCTTCCTAGCAGGAGGTACAAGAGTATAACAGGCCAAAGAAGCCTTTGATAAAGCTCATTCAGGCTAAACATCAGGCTGATGCTAACAGCAGAGTGGAATGGAAAATGGAAAAAGGAAAACTTTCCAGACAGAGCACCTTTTTTCTCACTACTCTTGCTGTTCTTTTGAGTTTCTTATTCTTAGCTGAGATCGGAGAAATGCTTTGGTGGATAGACATCGTCTTGAGGGTACTAAACCAGTCTTGAGTTGTCTTGACTCACCATATTGGAGGCAAAATCTCTATGTTTATAGTCATAATGTATGAAAAATCATAATTACCCCTGGAAACATTAAGAATTCCTAGTTATTTATAAATAAGACAAAATCACTATCTGTGAAGGCCCTGACAACTGAAAGACAGAGCAGATGACAAAGCCTTTGCATTTAAAATGGCATATTGGCCTCATTAGCTTTAGAAAGGGGACATCAGCCACCACAGCTTATGAGACTTGGGAGAATTGTTCTAATAGAGAGAGAAAAGTAAATTTTACAAATGAGTTTGGGAAGTATTCTATTTTAAAGTTTTACTAAACTGAAAACTATTAAGTAGTTATGTTGCCTGAGGGATTTAATATAGAATTTATTTTTTATTGTTGGCAAGACTATCAGAAAGAAATTACCTCAAACAACCAACAGAAATAAATCAAATGAAAATTAAAAGAATCACTCCATTTAGAGCTGCTGACATTTTCAGGTGGTTGGAAAACAGAAATGTAGAAGAGGGCCTTCTTGCTGAAACACTCCCCCCACCAAAGAAGAAGATATTTTCAAATGGTCCTTCCATGAAAGGTATAAGTCCACCATCCAGCAGCTCTCCCTAGTCACCACCTGTGAATGTGCAGCACATTCACAGAGGCTTTCAGCAATGGCCTGCAGCCACCTTCTAGCCAGGAAATGGACTCACTGCCTCAAGCAAGCAATGTCCGATGCTAGTGGACTTTTCAGATACAATACTCAGGTCAAATATTCAGCAATTTCTCCTCTGCTAACAACTACACCAGAAATATTAGATGTTCTGCTTTTGTTCTTCATTTTTTCTTTTCTGAAATGTCACATGCTGCATGTGGTTCATTGGCACAACTCTTTGTGAGAAACCAGCATCATTTGGAACAGCACCAGAAGTCTCTGTTCACCATAAAACCATGCACGTGTTTTGCGTAACACAAGAACAGCCTGTGAAAAACATCAAATGGAAGGCAGCCGTGATGATACTGCTGGTTACTGCAAAGTACAGAGATATGAAAAAGCTGGCTTGGGTACATGGTTGGGTTAGCCACGGCAATAGGGAAGTTCAGGTGGGCTTTATGAGGCGACTGGGAAAACAGATCTTCTCCAAGTCACAGTATCTCTGGGGAGTGCACAAGTTTTAAGCTAAGCCCACATTAATGCCTGTGCTATCCTGCAGGCTGCACTGCTGCTGCTTCCAGAGAGGAAACTCACCTTTCATCTATAAAGCTGTTGGAATTTGCAAATTTACTGGAAGTCATGGACAGCTCTATGTATAGACTTAGAAAACGCTGTAACAGATTCTGCTTGAAAGCCATATGGTTTATACAGAGCATAATGTTGTTAGCTTATAAAACACATAAAAAAGCTACCTGGATTTTTTTTTTCCTGAAACTATGCAAGCTTTTTTTTTTTTTTTTCTCTTTTCAAAATGTTTACTTTTAAAGTTAGATAATTATGAATGTTCCACTTCCAAAATAAGAGTAATTTACGAGGTATCCGCTCCTGTCACTAATTTCAGCTGCAATCTATTCTTAAGGTTAATCTTGCACTTCTGATCATAAAGTTTCAGATTTCAGTTTCCTAACAGGAAAATACATTCCATCAAGAATTAAATCTCTAAATACAAGTTTGGGAACTGAGTTAAAAAATACATATTTTTTTCTTTTCAGGCATGACTGAGATATTCTTAGCACTTGAACAGAACTGCAGGTCACACCAACCATTAAAAAGTGCCAGACAAATGTAACAATACTCCCTGAAATTTGCCATTTTGGTCCTAAGGAGAGCATTTTTTCCACAAAGGAAAACAAAAATATTATTAAAAATGGCTTTACTGATCTTCAGCCTAAAACCTTATAGGTAAAATAAAATTATTTGGAAAAAGACATAGGATGTGTATCAGCTGTTTCAAGTAATCTAATATGCATTAGCTATGATGAAGCAAGGAATTATTTAGCAATGCTACATATAAGGAGTATATGCTCACAAACTGAAATACTGTCTATGAGCTCTCAGACTGGTTGCTGCTGCTTTTGACAATAAAGAATGCTTTCTCATCGATACAAATGTAAAATTATATTTGACAGATATTCTGCTCTTAGCCAGAGCAGTTTCCTTTGAAGCTTTCCCAGGAGAAAAAGCTGGATTTTAAAATGGCATCTGCTTTTGTAGAATGCATGCTTTTATATTTTAACATTGCCAGAAATCAAAAAACATTGAATACAACAGTGCAGAATTTTAATGCACGATATGGCTATGTGAAGACACATGTAAGTTAACATAAGGCAACAGTTTTATTTATAGCTCTCCTCTTCCCTAGAAATGTAAGTAGATGAGATGATTTACACTGTTCTTCCTTAGTGCTGTGCCTTAGGTAATAGAGATGTGTAAGAAGTAAAACAGATGAGCTCAACTCACGTGCTGCTGCCTGCAGGTCATCTGCAGATTCTCTATCTGGTTCTGAACTAGACTGGACATGACAAGTCTTTACTGTGGCTGCAGGGTAATGGCAAACCTGACAGCAGCAACTTTACAGTAACAAATGAACGTAGTCTTGGAAATACCATTAAAAGAAACCCACACCACAGTAATGTCTCTGATCCTTATATCAGTGTACATCAATCCAGCTGCTGATCAAAAAGTGTAATTGCTTTGATAGTAAAAAAAAATATATCTATGTAGTAAAACATGCACTAATGAAATTCCAGAGTTCTCCGATTCAGCATGTGACATATTTCAATATACACTGGAGCATAACACTGCTGAACAAGCACTCGGACTCCCTTATGCCTTCAGCATGCGCTATAATAAACAAATGGACAGCAGGTTGTCTTGTTCAAAACCAAAGTGCTCTGTCCCACTTCCAGTTGAGCTGGAGGAAAGATGAGCTTGTAAGAAATGTAGAGGAGTGTCGTAAATGCATGACAAGTCAAAGAGACAGTTATGGTTACGTGCTTCATAACTGTTGTTTGACAGTGCGCTCTTCTCAGATTATCAAGCAAAGTTCTCCAATTTGTGGTATCCAGTTCAGTGGGACAGACAAATTCAAAAGTAAATGCATTCCTCACATTTCTGATTTAAAAGAACATGACCTACATATGTTTACATATGACTTGACACAAGATGAGCTTGCTTATGTTGAAATAATATGAAATGTTGCAATACGGAAATGTCAGTATTTCAACCCATAACCATCTTCTCCCTAGAAAGGGACAGACAAGGAGCTCCTTCTGTCATCCAGAATCCTGTTCATTTTTCTTAGGTGAACTTTCATTTATGTGGGTAAGTGTTGTTAAAATGCTTTATCTGTCCTCAATTTTACTTGTAGAACATTTAATTTTAGGAAGTTACATTTTCTTTTCATGAAAATCTCTCTCTCTTGTGCTTATACTCTCACTGAATTTCATTGATTGCCTACCCTTGGAAGGCTCCTATAATTGCCTGGTCTCTAATATATCATGTATATGACAGAGTAATATCCAACTTCAGAATTTATTTTATTTGCTTTGAGAAGTTAAAGTATGTCTGGAGATTTGAAGAAATTAGGGGCAAGAGGGATTAAATACTTTTTCTTAATGATAGTATTTATTTCAATAACTCTTTTTCAAGTGTGGAACTTTTCACTTTTAATGCAAATTGCCATCTTTCTTTCATTTATGTCTCCCCCCCAAAAAAGAAGAAAAGGAACCTGAGATGTAACAAACATATGTCCTGACTCTGTTCTCAGCGTCCATCTGCTGGAAATTCATTCTTGGAAGACAAAGGTATAAAAGGAAGAACAAACTAAATTGCTCTCTGATTAGGATTGTTAAATCACTTTTGTGTCTGGATACGCTGATCGCCATGCTGCCTTCTGCTACTACACCAGGGATGGCAAAGTTCTTGTTATGAGAACATGTAGTAACTTATGTAGAAGCAGAGCCAAGACAAAAGAATGATCATGCAGTTTCTTGTCTGTATTCTCCTAGTAGTAATTATAGCAGTCTCTTAAAAGTTTTGTATCTCGTATGAAATAAATCTAAATAAAACAAAGAGCATCTTACTTTTTTCAGGCTTACTGATCATTCCAACAACTCCATACAAGCAAAGATTTACGTGAAGTGCAGAAGATTCCTCACTTTGAGTCACCTGCTCTGTTAAAATCCATAGTTTACATCTAGTTCGCTTAAGAAACAGTAATTTTACACATGAAATTGTTCCACATGCTTAAGAAGGGAGCTGACTACAGTGTAAAAATGAATAATACACTCCAAAGACAAACTCCATGTCTAGAATAATTCAGTATAGCTCAACAGAACTCAGCTGACATCAATTTTTACTAAATAGGAATCCAGCCTCAGAAGGACATAGAAATACTGGAAAACTTGCACTTATCTCTGTAAATCTGTTCCATCTGTTAGGAGTGAAAATAAATGTAGCCATGGAAATAAAAGCAGAAACAGCGAATCATCCACACTTATTTCAAAAAGTTGTTTTGCTGTGGGTTTGTTGTTTGTTTTTTTTTTAAGTGAAGAGTGTTTGTTGGTTTTTTTGTTTTGTTTTTTGGTTGTTTTTTGTTTTTTTTTGCTAAAATTATGCATTATTTTGCAGAAAATAATCATATTTATACCAATCTTTACCACAAGAAAAGTAAAAACACAAAAGATTATAATACACACAAGGACATATTGGTGGCTCTACTGACAAAATATTCTTGGTATTTTTACTTTGGCCTGTGAAAGAAACTCATTATTTGTACAGACCTGAAGTGAAAGCAAATGAGACTGAAAAAGATGCATACAGAACAAGGAAGCTGCTGCGGGTTTTTATAACTGCAGTTATTAGACATCAAAGCACGTTACTTATCAAAGCATGTTCTCCCTTAACTTATGTAATCCAACTGTCATTTCTACAACGAAATAATGATTTTTCTAAACATTATAAGGTTTATCATTGTGCTTACATGTTCATTCCAGGCATCCCCGGGCCACCTAAAGCATTCAGTGGGGGTCTCATTGCACCTCCATAGTTCTGCAATGATAACCAAGGGTCAGACTACCACAAAACAAAAAAACAAAACCAAAGAGGAGGGGGAAAGAAAGGACAGCAGGTTAATGATATCCCTATATAACTGCTGACTGGATAGGCCAATGTAATTCATTCTTTCAGGAGTTTCCATTGTTGACTTAAAAAAATAATATTGTTATCCCCAAGGACAAAGAATTACATGTGCTATTCAAATAGAAATATACTAAGAATACTTAAAATTGTTACAAGAGGAATCATTTACATATAGAGAAGTCAAGTCAATGTCCAGAGGAACAACTTTTACAACATAGTCAGCTTTCAAACCACGGAAGCTCATTCAAAATTAGAAACCTAGACTTAGATTCTGAGATTTCTAAGTTATAGAATTTAAATAAAATTTCTTTTGTGACATTTTGTTAGGGTATCAATAAATTCTGGTAAGAAATTACACCATATGATATCACTTCACAATAACATACAGCATAACCATCTCATTTCTCTTCAAATCAATCAATTCAAAATGTGAGAAGAAAAAAATTACTTAATATGATAATGAATGTCATAGTAATGCCAAAAAATGAATTGTCTAATGCCTATGAAATCAGAGCTATGCCGTGATAATATGACAGAAGCCTAACAATTGGACTGTTTTATATGAAAAACTAAACTGCACCTATTTTAATTCAGATGAATACAAGCAGAACAGTCTATCATCACAACTCACGTGATCTGTGTTGATTTTTCTTTTTTTTCTTAACTCTTTTTTTCCTGATATTGCCAAGGAGTGGAAAATATAACATTCTCTAAAATGACCAGTATTAAGTTAAACATACTGTCTCTGCTTTTCAGAAGGTAGAGAGACAAGCAAACAATTTATTTTAAAAAATCTAGGTCGTTGTCTCTTTTCCAATAATTATACTAACATGCTTTAAATTGGTATAAATTACACTAAAAATAAAATCTACATAACATAGGCTTATGGGTATTCTCCATGTCAGCCTAATTCACAAAGTGTGTAAACATGATGTCATGAATACATGAGAAAAGTCCAACAGTATTCAAAGTATTGATCCAGTGCAGTTCACATCTGAAGTGACCTAGATATCTAGAATTGATATGGAACTGGGAGAAGAGGTCCCATGCCCTAAACAGAAACCCCAAATGTGTAATTTTCCTCACTGTTAGACACTCCTGAAAGCGTATGATACAGAGGTTTGTAAGAATACATCCAGAGGCTGAAAAAAAAGTTCATTCTCCAGATCTACTCTATGATCCAACAGTGCCATCTGAAGATAGTACTAGCCACAGCTGCCAGACATCAATCACTACTCATTTCTTAAACCTGTGTGCAGCTGACAGACCAATTGGTGTGCATGCTCAGGCAAAAATCAGCCAGATTAAGTCAAAACCTCTTATTTAACCTAAGTTACCACAGATAATTTTGCCTGAACCACTCCTCTGTCAGAACTGCAGGGCAGGAACTGATGAGTAGTCAAAGCAGATGCTTATAGTAATATCAGATAGTACTAGTGGATGTGGAAGAGAACACAGGCTAACAAAACAATGGTTCCAAATCTATTTTATTTCATTTTCCCATCTTGATCTGGAGGGCTGAGCCATGTGCTCCTTTTGAGCTATCTCCCACCTCTATTTTAGCCTAGGAACAGTGTGTAGGACAGGGTTAAAGACCATTATGGAATCCTGAGGACTGGAATACTTCTAATCAAATGTACTTCCAACTCTAATTACTGCTAATTCTAATCAAATGTACTGTTTCGTCCTAAAATAAGAGCGCTTTCATTAAGTCTGCTAATACACACATTCCTTCAGCTGCAGCTATGCTCTCTGTCCTGATTTGTTCCTTACAGCTTTTGACTTAAAGTCACCACCACCGCTGTTTATCTCGTATTGTATTGTTCATAAAAGGACTCCCTAACATCAAGTGATCAAAATGAGATAAATGACCCTAGACTTTTAAATGTTTAAGATAATCTAATTACATTTTACTTGAATGCATGAGAGACACATTGTAAGCTCGCCAGCAACTTTGAGAGACTGGGAGTAAGTAGTCTATCACAGTGTGCACTGTGTACATTGTCCAGTTGGTATAACCAAGGCTTGAAAAAAACTCAATGTAATTCTTTGCAGCTTTTCACAGATTCAAGCATTTGTAACACTGCTTTTAGCTTCATGGTATTTAGTTTGGAACAGTGTAGACTCATAAAACAAAAAATGCTGAGATAAGCATTTGTATATCAGCACATGAAGTGTTTCCCAGATTTAAGTGCCTGTGCAGCAAGGTAGAACAGAGCCTTACACTCTGGGTACACTGAGGCCAAACTTACAGCACTGTAGCAAGAGAACTTTAAAAGCAAGTTTGAGAGACAAAATTCAGTTTGGTTTTAGAACTGTATTCTGAGATGATTCTAAAAGCAATACACAAAGATGATCCATTTACAAAAGAAAATTATTTGCAAGTTTAAAGTTGTGTAGGTATACCATGTTTTCCCCATTTTAAGGGGATGTTTAGCAAAAGAAAGAAGAATTTTACAAATGCTGCATTTTAAGAGACAGCAAAAATGAAAAAAAAATAACCACCCTTATAAAAACTGGCAGGAGATTTGCCTGCTGTGTGACTCATGGTGCTGCATAAAGTATCAGCTCAATCTCATCTGGCAGCACTGCAAAGCTTCTCTTTCTACCTCCTAAACACAAGTGGTAAATAAACTTCAATGCTACACAAGAAACAACAAATTTATTTAATAACAGTTAGTTGGTCACACAACAGATGTTGCGTAGAACCACATAACTGGTTTCTACCAGTAGGACCCAAAAGTGTAAAGGCAGTTATGAACAGATTTGAAAGGCAAAGTTATTTAATCATTTAAAATTCAGTTTATATTCCAAGGAAAAAATAAGCCACTAGAAAGATTATCTAAATCGAGAAGTAAAAATGGTAAGTATGAGAAGAAAATATTAGCAACGTGGTATAAAGCACAACTACCTAAATTTTCCCTCACCAAGAATGCTAACAAAACACAGATTAACCTTTAGGATTAATCTTTCAAGTATACATCACAACTCATGTATTTGTCTATCTTAGTTACTGATTAAAATGTAATGTCAACAAATACTGGTTCTGCACTTATGAGGAAAGCATCAATATACAATCATGAACAGATCGGCACCTTGGAGAAGATGAACTCTTGCAATCCAAGATTGCTTTCCTCCTTGGGATCAAAGCTGGAGAGTTGTTTATGATTGATAGGCGGCAGAAAAAGAAGCATGAACTCCTAATTTTACATTAAAATGTCTTCAAAACTAACAAGTAATCTATCTCCATAGTGGTTAAAGAAAATCTTATCACTCTTCTTTTTGCTACAGATTGCCTGAGTAGTAGTGTAGTACTAAGTAGTACTGTGAGATGAACTTTACACTCCTTGATGGCATCGGTTGAGAGAATGAGGAAACACTTCCTTGAGGCTTGGACTCCTTACAAATCCTATCTTTTAAAGTATACGCTGGATGTAGGAAAAATTTAACTTTCCTGAAATAAGTGACTTAAGGAATTCCTTCTAATTTCAAATCTTTGAAGAGTGACTTTTGAATTTTAGATTTTATAAAGCTGCAAATCAGAATTAATTTTTAGAATTGACAAAATTTATTTTTAAATGGTATTGTAAGAACAACTCCTAGCACATTCTATCTTCAAACTATGCAACACTGGAATCAAAGTAATTAAGTATAAATACAGATCTATCAATAAAAATGGGTATTTATTTGTAGAACGTACCTGTGGTCCTAAAGGAACCATTCCTCTTGGAGGAGTCATTCTCTGCATAGGTCCACCCATGTTTGGATGTCCTGGAAATAAAATTATGGAGCTTAAAAAGCTATGTGAAACACAGACACTTTCCAAATCAACTTTAATTAATCATTCTACTGGGAGGTGTTCCTGCATATAGCAGAGTGGTTGGAACTAGGTGACCTTAAAAGTCTTTTAAAACCCAATACATTCTGTGACTCTATGACTCCTTCTAAATTAACAACAACAACAGAAAAGCTACAATAAACTTTGAAACACTGAGCAAAGGATGCCATCTTGAGAAAATGTTACATTACATGATCCAAATATTTATTTCATTCACCTTGCTGCCGTGTTGGGTCCATCCCGCTAGGCAATAATGGCTGACTTCCTGGGACACCTCCAAGTGCCTGCAGGCATAGAAATCATATTACAAGAACATAATACACTGAAATGTATGGTAAATAGATAATATTTTGTTTTTAATTCCTAGATGTTTCTTCTGAGTCAAGAGTAACGCATTAGAGTTAACACTCTTAAACATCTTAACTGAATGTCCTGAATGCCCAACTAAATGACCTCAATGTCCAACAACCGCATCTATGGATCCGTATGGACAAACTCTTGCACTTCTTTGAATTATGGTAAATAACCTCCAAAACAGATCCTCATCCAATTTGCTTCTTTTCTCCAATTCTTCCTTTGCTTTAGCTCACCTATTCTTTAATGTCAAATCATTGCCTACTTCTTGGTTACATGGTAATTTATCCAAAGTTTATGTTATTACAGTTTTCCCTTTTAATAGTAATTTTAACATCTTCTTTTAACAGGATCCAGTGTGGACACCATGATTTCTTCTAAGAGTGAGCTGTAACTACATCAGTTGGTTTCAGCACTCAAAGGGTAAGGCAAAGCAGGGCTGTGATGTGGGAGATGGATATTTCTACCTGCCTCCCCCTTGAGGACCACTAGCTTATTACTCGTCTATGGGAGATAACAGTCACAACACTTGCTCCTATAGCTTGCCTTCATGTCTGAAGACAAAATATAGTGTTATTTCACCTGTGGTCCAAATCAAGTGTGTTTTTATTTTTATGTTCCTCTTACAGTTACTGATTTAAGATCAAGTCTAATTTCTACAATCTCTTAGCTACAGTTTAGTCAGCTAGAATAAATTTTTTATGAAAGGATGGCAGCTGATCCACCAAGTGTCATTTAAATTCCAAAACAATGATACTTTTTCATTAAATTGTGTCTGGAATGAATAATTCTTGTACTAAGAAAATAATCTACTCAGTCAGCACAGGTAAGTGCTTACTGAGGGAACGGATAAGCTACTGCTGTTCTGAAAATACTGTCGGCACACACAAAAAGGAATTTATCTGTAAATATCTTATAGTTTATTTCCAAGGAAGGAAGTTCAAAATTAAGATGCACATTATGTTCTTAGCACCAGGTTAAAAGGTATTCTAATGTAATATTACAGAATAAACACATCTTCTGTTAAATTCTGTACATCATTTAAAACTGAGTTTTGCGTTTACTTCCGTGGTGTTTACTTAATTGTCCTAAGGATAGTCGTAAGAAGAAGACATGAAATACACAGGGAAGTATCAAATACTCCCATAAAGAAGGAACTGGTCATCTCTGCTCAAGATACCAGACAAATAAGGATGAGCTGCTGCAACATTTGACTGATACTTGGCTCATGTGGTCATTACAGTTTCTTGCCAAAGCACCAGAGGACTCTTCAACAACACAGAAAATGCCAGCACAGCATGAGCAATGCCAAGAGCAAATACACTTGCAGGGCTGGATCTTGAAGGCTATGATGGAGACCTGGAAAAATCCTGGGGGTACGCTGTGGCATGCAGTATTTACTAATGCTTCTCCTCATGGAGCCCAGATCCAGCTCATGTACCCCAACCCAGGACTGGAAGTGCTGGGAATGCACGCTCCATGTCACACCTTCCTGTACAAAATACCAACTTTACGTTGAGGGATGTAGGTATAGGTGTGGTGGAGATTTAACATCAGAGTAAACTCTGACAAACATCAGATAATTTATCTCCGTGTAACCCAAATGTTGGCCTTAAAGTAGTTCATTACTTTCAGTGGTAACCCTTAAGGTCCCCTAAAAAAGAGAGTTCTGCTAAGAGCAGTAGTTCATGAACGCAGCATAATGTAAATGAATTGCAACAGCTGTAATTCATGAATGTTATCTTACAATCCTGTGAAAATGCAGTGTGCAGACAAAAACGCTTCTGAAATAAAGCTGTAGTTTGGCAGCAATTTCACAGCATTCACCACAACACCCAGGTTCTACCTGCCATATTGCACAGTTCAAAAACATGGAAACAAAAGAATAACGGTGCACTGGTGCACTCCTGGCTGGGACATTACTGAAAGGTGGAAAACTCTGGAACACATTTTGTACTGCATTACAATATACTGTTGCTAACATTTAACAAAGTACTCTGGATGCATTTCACTGCACTTGCACTGTCCTTTGATTTTCTCATCAGCAATGTCACGCATTTCCCTTGTGAAAAAGCAGCTATGTTATAGATCACCAACATTTGATCTGAAGAAATCTTGCAAGCTAAAATGTCCCCAATTCACTAAAATTTGATGTTGAATTTCATGACAATATTGTGCCAATGGTCAAAAAAAGTTTGTTGACATTGTAACACACAATTACAGAAAAGTTGAGCTCTGCTAGTAACAAAGACAGTCCTGGAAGTCTAGGTTGCACAAAATGATTTTCTTGCCCATCAACCTTTCTAAATCTTGCAAATGACATGGCTTTTCTTACAGCTCTGTCTCCTTCTCTCTTAACATTTCAATTGCTGACATTCACTTTCCCCTCTTCTAACTGCACTAAGAAAATAGAAATACTATCTCCATCCAGAACAACCTTTTCATAGATCAGCCCATAAAGGTCTCTGCTGATGAACAACAGCTCATTACTTGTTCTGTTACACTAGCACTCATATCCTCCGGTGGAGATGAGAAAAAAATAGTAATCTGATGCTTTCATAAAGTCTTCAGAGTGCTTGTAAAAGGCACAGAACATTTGACAATAACTGCTTCTCACAAATCATCTCCTGTTTACTGCGAAGTAAATACATTTCATTGTTACTGCAATACTTTACACATCCAACAGAGAACAGGAAGGAGTGATGCATTGCGTGTAAATTGAAGTAAAGCAATTCTAAGAGCTACCTGCATAATGTGTTTAGGAAAACTCAGAGAACGTAAGAACATGGAGATATACTGCATTCAACCTGGGCAGGCAGCACAGCCTGGCTGAGGTTAACATGTCTCTCTCTCTCTCTATAAGGCCACTATGCTCTCCCTCTGCAGAGAGACTGAGAGCCCAATAAATTTTGAGGTATACACAGTAATTACACAAAGGAAGATGAGCCAGCAGTGATATGATGTGTCTATTAATGGTCAGACAAAATGGAGTGGAGAGGGACAGACAGTTTTGTGTGCCACACATTGACAGCATTCAGGACAAAGCACCCTGCACCCAGAACTGCAACATGACCTGGATCACAACTGTGCAGGAGATATAAATTCTTACCTGGTTGGGTATTCTTAAAGGTGGCCTTGGACCTCCAGGGTACCGAGGGGACATGAAAGGCTACGAAAAAAGAAATACTGCTAAATAATTCAACTTTGATTAAAAACACCACATTGAGTCACTGATGTATGGCTTCTGCCATGCTCAGACTTCAGACATCCAGCTTAAATACTTCCACAGAGCATGCAGTGGATTACTGCACAACCGTTAGCAGGGCTAAATAAATTTAGGGATTCTCAATGAATGTGTCTACCAAGATACATTATTTAAAGTTTTTATTACAGCTATTGTGAATGCAGAATATAAACAATTTAATGCTGTGACTGTGAAGAATAAGCCAGTTAGCTCATGTTATCACACATCTAATCTCTTCACTGCATGAGTGTGAGAGATAACCCTGAAAGACAAAAGCAAAATATTCTTGGAAGAGTCAAGAGCCAAGTACCAGCATAATGATTCAAAGTAATTTCCCTTCACTTTTTCATAATAATGCAGTGAAATATCATACAAGACTTCACCTGTGAGGGCACAGATGTGTTCATGCCACAAGCTTCTACAACTTTAGTGGTCTATGTGAATCATACAGAATCAGTGTATCAACTCCTCTCATCCCTCTACTCACAACTCGATAATCATTACAACTTTTCTTCTGTCAAGAACAAAAATACACTAATCCTGCGCTTTGAGCTTCCAGTGGCTTTTGGCTTCTTGCGTACTACTTCACAGCCCAGAAATAAAGTCAGTCCCTTAAACAAAGACCATAAATAAATGATAAACAAATGGCACTACAAGCAAATACACTTAACATCTCTACTTATTCCATCTCAAAGTGTGACAGTAATCTAGAAGTCTAAAAAGCATGGAGATGAGCAGGAAAAAGGCACAAACATCTGACTAAACAGATGATGAAGAGGATCATTTTGGCATGCAGAAGTAACTGTAACTCTAGAAAATGAGGAGCTAAAAGCGTGTGCCTTTGATTGTGAAGACAGGGACAAAAATGACTAACTCCTTCAAGAGCTGGAGAAAAAGTATTTATATAAGGTGTCTTCTCAAATCTTCCAATAATACACTAGCTTATTCTCTCCTATGCCTAAATTGTCAGGCACTTGGAAAGCAAAAACTTTCTTTCGTAACAAGAGCTTGTTTCTGTTCATGACCCAGCCTAGCAGTCATCAGAGAGAAGAGAGGGATGAAAGACAGAGGACATATGGAACAACCCAGGAGAAATTTCTTCTGACAAATTGAGTTACTGAACAAACTCAGTCCTAAGGGTCTCTTGGATGAGAAACTAATACACCTAACAGGAATTATCTAGTCAGCTTTAGCTAATGACCACATGCAGGTCACACAAACTCCATGTTCGACACCATTTCACAAATGAATGGCATGTTTGAGCTGTCATCAGCTGTGCTGCATTATAAAATACAATGCTAGTGATCATCACTATCACTAATGAATGCAATAACAGTAGCAAGACTAGCAGAACAGTTGTAATTGTTGCTATTAATTAGCAATGGTATTTTTCTTATGACCTGTAGGAAAAAAGTCAACTGAACTTTCATGTTGGGATCAGATGAAAATCCTAATAACCTACATAAACAGGCTTGAAATAGACACCAGAAAGTGATTTTAAATACAGATAGTTTACCAATTAGAGAAGAAAGCTTAAACGACAGTTGTAAAGATTGCATTAATAAAAGACACTTGAAATATGCTCAAGAGAAGGTTTCTTTGTTCACTCCATCTGATGGTGGGATTCCACAATGGGAAACAAACAGAAAAAACAGCTCTGCTTGTAGTGAAGTCTGTAAACACAAAGATCCTTGAAAAACAGAAAGTGTGTGATGAAATTAGAATTTCAACAATTTCCTTACAGGTGAACCAATTCCGTGGCATAAAGCAATTTTAGTGACTGTGTCACATTTGGCTCACTCTGTATATTCAGAGAATGATATTTCATTTACAGTTTATTAATATTTGTAAAATGGTAATCAGGAACATCTCGCATGTCAACCATACAAAGTAAAATCACATGATCAATATTAGTGCATAATACTGTATTTGTTAGTCACAGAACAACAACCCTCTTCCTGATTTCCTTTAAGGCAGGAGGAACACCTGCACGTCCCCTGTCTTACCAACAGGTTTACTTTTCTGTTCACTGTATACAAATATCTAAAAAAATCATTTTTTATATAGAATCTACGTTTTATAATGTGCTAAAACAGATGTTAAGTCAAAACTTTACTTTGTACAATATGACTCACACTGTCACTAATGCATGACAATTAGAATCCTCATATTTTGGTTTGCTGCATCCGAGGTCAGAAGCTGTTTCAGATAAAACATCCTTTTATAAATATATCAATGGCAAAAAAAGAACCAAGGATAATTTTCATCCTATACTTGATGCAGCAGGGAATGTGGCCACTGAAGACAAGCAGAAGGCTGAGGTCCTCAATGCCTTCTTTACATCTGCCTTTAATATGCAGGTGAGTTATCCTCAGGGCACTTTACGCCCTGATCTGGAAGTCTGGGACGCTGCTCAGAATATATCCCCAGCAATTCCAGTGGAGACAGTCAGAGAGCTTCTCCTCCATCTGGACTGTCACAAGACCATGGGACTGGATGGGCTGCATCCTTGGGTGCTGAGGGAGCTGGTGGGGGTGATTGCCGAGCCGCTCTCAGCCATCTATCAGCACTCCTGGTTATCTGGCGAGGTCCCAGAGGATTGGAGGCTTGCTGATGTGACTCCCATCTACAAGAAGGGCTGTAAGGAGGATCTGGGGAACTACAGGCCTGTCATCCTGACCTCAGTATCAGGGACCCCCACCTGGGGGTCAGTACTGGGGCCCATCTTGTTTAATATCTTTATTGATGACCTAAATGAAGGGATTGAGAGCGCCCTCACGAAGTTTGCAGAGGACACCAAGCTGGGAGGTGGTGTCGATCTGCCTGAGGGTAGGGTGGCCCTTCAGAGGGATTTAGACAGGCTGAACTGCTGGGCTGAAGTGAATGGGATGAGGTTCAACAAGGCCAAGTGCCGGGTCCTGCACTTTGGGCACAACAACCCCATGCAGCATTATAGGCTTGGGGATGAGTGGCTGGATGAGTGTGGAGAAGAGAAGGGCCTGGGGGTGTTGGTTGGTGCTGTGCTGAACATGAGCCAGCAGTGTGCCCAGGTGGCAAAGAAGGCCAACGGCACCCCGCATTAGAAATAGTGTGGCCAGAGGAGCAGGGAGGTGATCATCCCCCTGTACTCAGCACTGGTGAGGCCGCACCTCGAGTACTGTGTTCAGTTTTGGGCCCTTCACTGCAACGTGTCCAGAGAAGGGCAACGAAACTGGTGAGGGGTCTGGAGCACAAGTCTTATGAGGAGCGGCTGAGGGAGCTGGGATTGTTCAGTGTGGAGAAGAGGAGGCTCAGGGGAGACCTCACTGCACTCTACAACTTCCTGAAGGGAGGCTGTGGTGAAGAGGGATTTGGCCTCTTCTCCCAAGTAACGAGCAGGACACGGGGTAATGGCCACAAGTTGTACCAGAGGAGGTTTAGGTTGGACGTGAGGAAGAACTCTGTCTCTCAGAGAGTGGTCAGGCACTGGAATGGCTGCCCAGGGAGGTGGTGGAGTCACCATTCCTGGCAGTGTTCAAGGGGCGTCTGGACGAGGAGCTGCTTGATGTGGTTTAGTGCTTGTGGTGGCAATGGTGATGAGGAGACAGTTGGACTGGATGATCTTGTAGGTCGTTTCCAACCTTGTGATGCTGTGATTCATTTGATTCTATGATATTTCAGATATTTGAGTTAGTCTGCACACATATGTCACAAGTCTATTTAATAAAAATCACACAGATTACACATAAGATTTTTCTCTGACATAATGTAATGAATACCCATAGAAGCCTCTTTGATACAATTCTGTCTTACAGGAACTTTTATTTTGCTGTAAATATTAATGCATCTATGTATTTCTCTGAAGTATATTTGTGGAAATGTTTAAACCTTCTCCCATTCTTTAAGTATCTGAATCTAAAAAGAGCAATGAAATTTCAGACAATTTTTACAGTCCTTGATTTTTCATGGATATGAACACTGTGCACAAAGAACATTATATTGCATGGGCATGGAAATAAATAAAAAACTGGTAAGTACAAATAACATTTTGGTGAATGTAAGTGCCAAAGAAGTATCATGTAAGATTGAAGAAAATGATGAAATATTAATGTCGAAGACAATTCTAAAATATCTTGCACTGCTTCAGATGAGCATTTATTAGTAAAAGCTACCAGAAAAATTAGAAAATTCACCAAAAGAAAAAATAAACTAATTTTTGTATTAGTTGTTAATCTTTGTCCACTCCATAATTAATGTTATGTTTGCCAATAAAGAGTTCTACTAAGACATATCAAGACATGAAAGAAATTCTGCCAAATGCTTTATGGAAAAATAATTAAAGATAAATAGCAATTCACTACATTAGGAGCAATTTTTTTAAGTCTGACACGCACAAGACATCACTAAAACATTCTGAAAGACAAGAAATCAAGTAGCAGACATTTTCTGTCATATGTAATGTTTTGCTACATTTTTTGTAATTAGGAGAAACAATTGACATTTAGTCTCTTATCTTGTTTTATTCTCTATTGTTCAGACCTCTTGACCATGGTTTATGGAGATACAACACTGGACTTCATTTCTCAAAGTTAGCAGCATTCTCTTTTTTTGCCAGCTCTGATTCTCTTTCCTCAAAGATGTTGCACCATATATATCCATATATATAGGTAATGAGCCTAACACATGTGCACTGATTTGAAAACACAGATTTAAATTGGTCAATGTGATGCTTGTCTTTTGAAGATAAATACAATTTATATTGCACTAACTTTAGCTTCTTTAGCTTCCTACCTGATGGGAGGAAGGGCCAAAAGACATTACCTACTAGAGCCCTCCCGATGCAGAAGGACGCAGAAACATGAAGAATCTCACAGCCAGATCTTACGTAATAAAAGAAAAACCTTGAGCAGTGTATTAGAACATACAACCTCATAAGAAGCTGATCT